TCTCTTTTTTTTTTTTAGTTATTGTCAAGTTAGCTAACATACAGTGTATACAGTGTAGCCTTGGCTTTGGGAGTAGATTCCCTTGATTCATCACTTACATACAACACCCAGTGCTCATCCCAATAAGTGCCCTTTTCAGTGCCCATCTCCCATTTAATGCCCATCTCCCATCTTCCCCACCCCTCTAACAACCCCCCCATCAACCCTCAGTTTGTTCTCTGTATTTAAGAGTCTCTTATGGTTTGCCTCCCTCCCTCTCTGTAACTTATTTTTCCATCCTTCCCCTATGGTCTCTGGTTGAGTCTCAAATTTACATAGAGTGAAAACACATGATATCTTTCGACTGACTTATTTCACTTAGCATAATACCCTCCGGGTTCCATCCTCGATTGTTGCAAATGGCACGCATTTCATCTTTTTTTCATCTCTGAGTTGTATTCCATTACATATATATATATATATACACATCTTCTTTATACATTCAACAGTTGATGGACATTGGGGCTTTTTCCTAATGGCCATTGTTGATAGTGCTGCTATAAACATTGCTAAATGTGTCCTTACTAAATCAGCACTCCTGTATCCTTTAGATAAATTCCTAGTAGTGCTATTGCCTGGTGCAGAGTAATTTATTTGTAATTTTTTGAGGAACCTCAGCACTGTTTTCCAGAGTGGCTGCACCGGTTTGCATTCCCACCAACAGTACAGAGGGTTCCCTTTCTGACATCCTTACCTCATCTTGTTTCTGAGTTGTTAATTTTTAGCCACTCGCCAGTGGAGGTGGATGTTTCAATGTGGTTTTGATTTGTATTTCCCTGATGATGAACAATATTGAGTATCTTCTTTATTGTAGCCTTCTGATGTCTTTTGGAAAACTGTCTATTCATGTCTTCTGCCCATTTCTTCACTGGATTATTTGTTTTACAGGTGTTGAGTTTGTAGTTCTTATAGATTTTGATACTAACTCCTTTATACTTATAAGTCATTTGCAAATATCTTCTCACATTCCTTTGGTTGCCTTTTAGTTTTGTGGATTGTTTCTCTTTGTGTGTTTTTTTATCTATGAGGTCCCAAGAGTTCATTTTTTGCTTTATTTCCTTTGTCTTCTGTAGACATGTCAAGTAAGAGGTTGCTGTGGCGAGGTCATGGAGGTTGTTGCCGTTTCTCCTCTAGGATTTGATGATTCCTGCTCCTTACGCCTTTCATCCATTTTGGATTTATTTTGGGTCCCCATGGAGTCTTTGATCTCCTTTCTGTGCCATCTTTTACAACAACCAGATTGTGCTAGTGTGGTTTTATTCCTCTCTGCTCATGCAGTGGACTCAAGCCCCACCCAGTGAATCCTGTGTTCGATGGGAGCCAACATGTGACCGGCCTCGGTGTCATCCAGGACAGGTGTAGACTACACCTGTAAGTGTCCTCAGGCTACAGGAGATGAATCGAGTTGTGTGGGTAAGTTGTATGCTCGTGTTCTTTCACGGGGTCCCTCAGCCCCTGTGTTTATAGAAGATAGGTGCTCTGCTTTTATGATCTCCACTGATCAACAAGACAAGCTTTAGCTTATTAACCTAAATGCTGTTATTTAAAACTGAAGCATATTTTCGAGAGGATAGTTTGAGCAGTGTTTGGGGCTGATTGGAGAAAGAGACAACTGTTGGTCCTGCATATTTTGAGTTCTTAAGTTTTGTCATTTAATCTATTAAGCTTTTTATATTTACTAAAACATGTGTTTTCTAGTCTTAGTCTTCAGGACATTGTTTTTTTCCCCATTGTATCCCACATAATCCACAGAAATTTCTACATTTCTAAAAGAAAAGTATTAGTGTGTTTTTCTTTAAATTTTTTTTTTTCCAACGCTTATTTATTTTTGGGACAGAGAGAGACAGAGCATGAACGGGAGGGGCAGAGAGAGGGGAGACACAGAGTCGGGAACAGGCCCATAGCTCTGAGCCATCAGCCCAGAGCTCCGCCTTAGGCTCGAACTCACGCGGACTGCGTGAGATCGCGTGACCTGCTTGAAGTCGGACACTTACTGACATCCTAGCCCAGGCTCATGTGTTTTTTTTTCTTTTAAATGTTGAGTGGTTTTTTTTTAAAATAAAAGTCTAAAAGAATGCTAGAATATTGAAATATTTCTCCTCGGACTTATACTTCGACTGACTGCAGATAAATATTATAATCTGCAACATGCATTCTGTCGATGCTTAGAAATCTTACATTCTGTTTAGTCCATTTGTCCTGTTGAAGCTTCATAGTAGTGAGGAAAACATCGTGTTCACCTTTCACTTGTCAGGAACCCTTGATTTAAGCCAGCTTTCTGTCGTTATTTCTTCTAGATGTAAAATGAATGTGCAACGGGCTTCCATCACGTGCCCAACTCTGTGTGTACCAACTCTGCCGGGCAGCTATTCCCCTATGGTCTTCTGTTGAGTTTCTCAAATTCCACATATGAGTGAAAACACATGATATCTTTTTCTGACTGACTTATTTCACTTAGCATAATACCCTCCGGTTCCATCCACGTTGTTGCAAATGGCACGATTTCATTCTTTTTCATCTCTGAGTTGTATTCCATTACATATATATATATATATATATCACATCTTCTTTATACATTCAACAGTTGATGGACATTGGGGCTTTTTCCTAATTTGGCCATTGTTGATAGTGCTGCTATAAACATTGGGTAAATGTGTCCCTACAAATCAGCACTCCTGTATCCTTTAGATAAATTCCTAGTAGTGCTATTGCTGGGTTGTAGGGTAATTCTATTTGTAATTTTTTGAGGAACCTCCACACTGTTTTCCAGAGTGGCTGCACCGGTTTGCATTCCCACCAACAGTACAAGAGGGTTCCCCTTTCTTGACATCCTTACCTACATCCTTTGTTTCCTGAGTTGTTAATTTTAGCCACTCTGACCAGTGTGAGGTGGTGTTTCAATGTGGTTTTGATTTGTATTTCCCTGATGATGAACAATATTGAGTATCTTCTCATGTGGCTGTTAGCCTTCTGGATGTCTTCTTTGGAAAACTGTCTATTCATGTCTTCTGCCCATTTCTTCACTGGATTATTTGTTTTACAGGTGTTGAGTTTGGTAAGTTCTTTATAGATTTTGATACTAACCTTTATACGATAAGTCATTTGCAAATATCTTCTCACATTCCTTTGGTTGCCTTTTAGTTTTGTGGATTGTTTCCTTTGCTGTGCAGTTTTTTTATCTTGATGAGGTCCCAATAGTTCATTTTTGCTTTTATTTCCCTTGTCTTCAGAGACATGTCAAGTAAGAAGTTGCTGTGGCCGAGGTCAAAGAGGTTGTTGCCGTTTTCTCCTCTAGGATTCTGATGATTTCCTGTCTCACCTTTACGTCTTTCATCCATTTTGAATTTATTTTTGGGCCCCATGGAGTCTTTGATCTCCTTTCTGTGCCATTCTCTTTACAACAACCAGATTGTGCTAGTGTGGTTTATTCCCTCTCTGCTCATGCAGTGGACTCAAGCCCCACCCCAGTGAATCCTTGCTTCGATGGGAGCCACACATGTGACACGAAAGCTCGGTGCCATCCAGGGACAGGTGTAGACTACACCTGTAAGTGTGCCTCCGGGTACCAGGGAGATGGACGGAGTTGTGTGGGTAAGTTGTATGCGCTGTGTTCTTTCACGGGGTCCTCCAGCCCTGTGTTTATAGAAGATAGGTGCGTCTGCTTTTATGATCTCCACTGATCAACAAGACAAGTTTAGCAGCTATTAACCTAAATGCTGTTATTTAAAAACTGAAGCATATTTTGAGAGGATAGTTTGGATGTGGGTGTTTGGGGCTGGGATTGGAGAAAGAAGACAACTGTTGCAGTTCCTGCATATTTTGAGTTCTTAAGTTTTGTCATTTTAATCCTGTATTAAGTATTTTCTTATAATTACTAAAACATGTGTTTTCAGGTTGTCTTCAGGTTTCAGACATTGTTTTTTTTCCCCTATTGTATCCCCACAATCCACAGAAATTTCTTTACATTTCTAAAAGAAAAGTCATTAGTGTGTTTTTCTTTTAAATGTTGAGTGGTTTTTTTTAAAATAAAGTCTAAAGAATGCTTAGAATATTGAAATATTTCTCCCTCGGACTTATACTTGACTGACTGCAGATAAATATTATAATCTGCAACATGCATTCTGGTCGATGCTTAGAAATCTTACCTTTGGACTTCTGTTTAGTCCACTATTTGTCCTGTTGAAGCTTCATAGTAGTGAGGAAACATCGAGTGTTCAGACCTTTCACTTGTGGAACCCTTGATTTAAGCCGCGCTTTTCTGTTGTTATTTCTTCTTAGATGTAAATGAATGTGCAACGGGCTTCCATCACTGTGGCCCCAACTCTGTGTGTACCAACTTGCCGGGCAGCTACAGCTGTGACTGCCGGAGTGGTTATGAGTTTGCAGATGACCACCACACTTGTATATGTGAGTGCTAAGCCATTTCTCTTTTTGGCCAAAATAGTGCTGAACCTTGCTCTTTGATTCATTAATGTTTCCGCTATAACGTACAGAAGCTCTGCCATATGGTTTCTGAAAACACTGCGCGGAAATAACCCTATGGCCCAGTTCAGCCCTGGGTTTGTATGTTGCTTTCCTTTCGGTGTTGAGTTATTGAAGGGTGTTCACCCAGTTGGGATTCCTGCGTGTCTTGGTATCTGGCCCAATCATATAACAAGACTGTGAACCTCTAATACCACCGGTTCTGGACAGAAGTAAAATATTTCTCAAATTTAAATGAAACAGATTTATGATTCAAAGATGCTCGCCCCACTGGGCCAGCTGTACAACTCCATCTGTAATAAATGTACTCTTTCAAGGGTAAAAAAGAAAAGAAAAAGAAACCTTTGGACCTAAAAGTGGATCTACAGGAACTAGGATCCCAAATTCATCCCATTGGTAAAGCCAGATGATGATAGAGAAAATACGCTTTTTAACCCAGTGGGATGAAAAAGTAGCAGTGATCATAGAAACTGTATGTGTGTGTGTGTGTGTGTGTGTGTGTGTGTGTGTGTGTGTGTCTGGTGAGTTATAAACTTTATCAAGGACTACTTTAATGACTGATCTTCATGTCTAGAGTTTTAACCACAAACCCAGACCAGCACTTCTCAAACTTTAATACGCATACAAGCCATCCAGGGATCTTGTTGAAAGTCAGATTCTGATTAACTAGCTCTGGGATAGGGCCTGAGAACCTATATGCCTTCTGAGCCCCTAGATGTCCTGATGCTATGGGTGTGTGAATCACACTGGGAGGAGCAGTCTCACCCATCTGCAGGTCTGAACTCTCAGATGTCCTTGCCTTCTTCTCTTTTCAGTGATCGCCCCACCTCCCAACCCCTGTGCGGATGGCAGTCATTCCTGTGCTCCTGCCGACCAGGCCCGGTGCATTTACCATGGGGGCAGCACGTTCAGCTGCACCTGCCTGCCTGGTTACACTGGCAGCGGGCACCAATGTACTGGTGAGTACCTGCGGGTCGTCAGCCTCAGTGACTCTGGAAAGTTGCCTTGTATGCAACATCCCCACGTAACCGGAACCTTTCTCAAAAGGACTTCTCCCTTCCTTGACTCACACAGCCTTGGAATTGTCCAAAGAGCAAGAGAAAAGCTGTCCTTTGAGTCAAAAAGCAGGGCAAAGGGTATTTTCCCTTGGATTAGATTGGTGAGCATGTGGTGGGGACGTTCCCGGAGCACTAGGAAGCCACTGTGAGCTTGTAGCCAACCTTCTGTTCCTTAGAGCTGGCGTAGGCTGGAGGAACTTTGGGAAAGCCTATTCACCTGTTGGGAAGTCTCCATCCTTCCATCTATGGTCAGTGACTTAGTCTAGCACTTCCAGTTGTGCCTAACTTTGAGTTGCTTATGATACTGGTTGAAGGGGTATTTAAAGTAATCTCTAAACATACATGCAATTCTTTCTCATTTTTTCCCTCTCACCTCTCTCTCTGGAGAGAAGGGGAGGGGGTGGGGAGAGAGAGAACTCTGTCTTAAGAGGATAGTAATGCATACATAAATAACCAAAACTTTTTTTTCCCCCCAGAAATCTAACCACATTTAAGCTGGTTAAGACTTGGTACAGTATTTTACAAAATCACTAAACTGGAATGCAGGACTAACTGTTAAAATTTAACTCGGTCAAATAATAATAATGTTTGAGGTTGTTACTGAACTAGGTATAATTCTCTGGGTATAAATATTCATGAAACTGGGATTCGTAGTACTTTAATATAGAGATTATTTAAGAAATCTACATAATCCACAAAAGGTTTTCAAAATATATCCAGTGACATGATGGAACTGAAACTCCATTTCATGCTGTCAGTAATGCGCACAAAGTTAGGGTAAAATGAGACACCGGCAATGAGAGAATGGTGGGAAAAGGGTCTGTGTGGGGATTATAAACCTGGAACACAGGGTTTCCCCCTCCCTTCAGACTGCTGCTTGCATTGGCTGGGCCACTGTTGAGGTGCTAGAATAGCCGTGTGACCCCTGGGAGCTTCACAGCAGATGAAACAACATGCCCACCCCGCCTCCTTACCCAGATGTTCGCTTCTCCTCCTCCTGATTCCTCTTCCCTTCCCTCTCAGCGGAGAGGCTCCCGGACGAGCCCACTGACGCCGTCCGTTCTGGACAGAACACGTGTCAGGGCAGCACAGCCGTCCTCTCCTTCCTCGTTGTGCTGGGCCATTTGGTATTGTCTGAACTGGCTCTTTCATGTTTCCACTTCTGTTGTACAGAAGTTCTGCTGTATGCTTTTCTTAAAAACACAGTTTATACTGAAATGACCCAAAGCCGTGGCTCAGTTCAGCCCTGGTTTGTTTTGGTTTTTTCTCTACTAAAAATATCCCCGGTTTTAGAGCTCAACTGCTTCCCAGTGAGAACGAGGTAGATTTGGAATTCACAGATGCTTCTCCCACTTGACCAGCCCAAGAGTTCCATCTGTAATAGATACACTCTTGACACACAGAGGGTAGCCTCCACAGGTATGGGGGTCAGGATGTGAGGTGCACAAACTCCTCATGGTTGTGTTCTTCATGCGGGAGTAATGTTTTGTCCACCCTTGTGAATCTTTACCGTTCAGTTCCATTTAGCACATTTAAGAGATGAGACTGCCTGGAGAAGCAAAATCTTGTCAGTAGAATTGCGTATTTAAACATCCGGCCACTCAGGTCAGCAGAGATTGTGCCTTTAAAGTATTTCACTTCTTAGGTCTTTGGTCTAAAGCTAACAAGTTGAAATCAATTGCAGCCTAGGTGTGATGAGTGTTAATCAGAATGTTAATTGAGTTAGATAGTTTTTGCCCTAATCCCGTCTAGATTCATTCTCTCTTCCTTCTTTTAACTTCTATTTGTCCTGTAAAACTTTGATTATCTTTGGGATCATGTTAAAATTGGTTACTTTTCCATGTTGGGAACTTGTGAGTAATGCCATTCATTGTTATTACTGCCCTCTTGCTGATTTCTGCCATTTTTAATTGTCCCTATTCAATCTTTGCTTCTCTGCATTTGGGATTTTCTCTGGAACTCACAAACTTAAAACCCATCAGTTGCTTCCCTTAGTGTATTAGTTATCTATTGCTGCATACCAAATTACCCCAAAATATAGTAGCTTAAAACAATACACATTTATTATCTATAGGTCAAGGGCCTGGGAATGGCTTAGCTTGGTCCTCTGCTTAAAAAGATCCTCACAAAACTGCAACAAGGGGTCTGGTAGGCTTGGGGTCTCCTCTAAAGGCCTAACTGGGGAAACATCCTCACATGGTTATTGGCAGGATTCAATTCCTTGAGGCCTGAGAGCCTCAGGTCCTTGTTAGCTGTGGCCTGGAGATGACCTTCAGCTTCTTGACACGCAGACCTCCAACAAGGTAGCTTACTTCATCAAAGCTGGTGGCAGAAAGTCTTTTAGCAAATTGGAGGTTATAATCACAAAAATGACATCCCCTCAGTATTGCTTTCGTGTATTGATTAGATGCAAGTTACTCAAGGGAAGGGGATTACATAAGATTGCAAATGCTAGGAGGTAGGGATCTTTGGGGTTCCTTAGAGGCTGTCTCCCAGAATCCATTACCATGGGTTGCCTTCCAAGCTTTTCAGACTGTGGAGTAGAAGAGAATGAATAGTCCTTTTCCTAAAGACCTATGCCATGCCTAAATCCGACTGGGCTAGTCATGAAGGTGATTTGCAGGATAAGTACATACGTGTGTGTGGGTGTATGCACATGCATGCACATATTTAAAGACATGCCACAATGTGCATGTGTACCCGTGGCCATAGAGAGAAAATAGCAAAATAGAGAAAAATAGAGATAGAAGCTCTATTTTGTGGAAAGTGCGCATTCTTGAAGCATGCATGTTATTCTTTACTCCATTAAACTAGCAATAAAAGGCGTGTGGGTTTTTCTCTAGCCAGTTTGTTAAAAACCAGGTTCCCTGGAGAGGCTGGACTTGGCTTTGGGTTCTCAGTCTAGTCTGAGTCACCAGCAATTACTACTTTTATCCAAGTAGAGTTCAATCTTTTCCAGCTTCCCTCAATCAACCCCGATTGCCACGGTTTCAGGGTTGATGTCCACCTTGTGTTGGTATGAGCCGGTATTTCTCAGGCATGTTTGTCCTCATAGATCTTGGTAACTTTGCCAGGTGAAGCAGAGTGTCTTGAGTTGGGACCTTTCCAGGAGAAGCGATTGAGTTACGGGTGGGACATCCCTCAGCACCATCACTGCTCAGGAGGGACGTGAGGAGAGGCACTTAGGTTATTCTGTCTCTGGTTTTCTGTTCTAAAAAGAGAGATGTTAAGTAAGGTGTGGTAAAGTTGGTGCAGCCACAGGAGAAGAGTACAAGGTTTGCAAGGAAGGAGTTTATTATGCTCATGGGTCCCAGAGAGAGGGTCACCACATACCACACAGGGGCACACCCAGCAAGGTGCTTGACCGAATAGGTGGGGAGCTAGAACTTGTGGGCTGAAGCCTTTATTGGGGTCTGGAAATTTCACTGGATGGTCTGAAAGCAAAGGGGGTTGGGTGGGATGGGTTAAGGGTAGCTAGAATCTGGTAATCCGGTGGTTGGGTTTGTTTTGAAGGGACCTCGCCTGATTTGGGTATGGGCTCAGAATTACGGCAGTGAAAGCATTGAAACACCAAAGCATGAATTCAAAATGGAGGGTTTTAACAAATGTTCCATACAGGTGTTTTACCAGCTTAACAGAATAGAATGGAGAATTGTGCTGACATTGAGCCATGTTTCATTATCTGAGTGGCAAAGGAGTTCTGTGCCCCAAACGTTGTCGTCTTGACCTCAGTGTTCTGACAGCCCCTAAAGACCCCTGAAAGGGATTGTTAGGCATAAATGGCAGCTCCCAACCTGAGCGTAGCAACAAGGAGTTTCTCCCTTCCCTAGGGGCTGAAAGTGTTCCATGCTTTCTGTCCTGACACTTGACATCCTGTGATAGAGGGAAGAGCTCCCCTTCTTTACACAAAAGCCCCAGTTCCCCCCACACCCCTCAATGTTAGCACTCCTTGGGAGGAGCCATAGCCTGCTCTGAGCCCAGGCTCTGGAGTGGCTGACTGCACTCATTTTCTGTCATGGTGTGAGGTCTTCCAAGGAGGTATGGGGGACTGTGTTTCAGGGAGCTTTACCTCCTCCAGCTTCTAGGGGACAGGGGCTCCTCAGTTGTGATGCTTTCTGTCCCTTCAAGGGCTTTCTCCTGCTGGTCATTTACAACCATTAGTGTCCCTCCCCCTGACTCTAGTATCTGTGGGAAGATGACTGGCTTTCAGTCTGATCACAATTCTTAGGCCATAGGCTTTAAGAACATAAGGAACCTGGTAGCTCTGGGGAGTCCCCTCTCCCTTAGTTCAAAAACAATCTCAAGAAACTGATCCATGGGTTCTAGAAATAGGCCCTGTGTCTCAGGAATTCCTGCTTCCTGTCATTGCCTGGGGTTCCTGTTAGCATGAGAAGTCCTTTTAGCATATGTATTATGAATAGCTTCAATTTCCTGCATTTAATTTCCTGCTGGATGTTCAGTTTTACAGCTTTGGTTTTACAGCCAGTTTTATGGCCTCTTGCAGGCCCAAGGAACTGGATGGTCACTGGCTTTGCCCAGCTAGGTGTTGGAGTTGTCCTCGTCAAGAGACTGAGGGCCAGACTCAAAGATAATTATATATGACAATATAGAACCTATTGATTAGATTGGAGATAGAGTTTTTGTTGTGATTAGTCTGGTTTCTTTTTGGTTGACTGAGGAGCTAACCAGAAAACCTTGTTTGTTTCTAACCTTGTACTTTCCTGCCTTTGTGGGTGGAAAGAAGGTGACTAGGGAGGCCAGTTCATCTGGGCAGAGCCTCTCTGGGTGGCATTAAACTCCGTTCTGTCAAGCATTCAGGATGATTTTGGACTTAGGGGAGCTAATGTATGTTGACGAAACTTCCTTAAGACTGAGGATAGGCAGAATGTGAATTCGCTAATTATGACATAAGAGATTCCTCTCCCGCGAACGTGTCTGCTCACCAGCACCTGGGAGGGTGGCTCAGTGAGCGCATGGTCATAGCAAGGCTGGTAGTCATACTCCTAGAAGAGATTTCACCTGGGGCATGGGAGGCCGGTTGAGGGGCCAACTCTGTCCCCAGCTGATCCATGTCAAATTCAGGCTGTGGCTCTTGGGCTTCCTGGGTTCTATGTGTCTCTGCCCTGGGCTATAGCAAATTGATGCAATTCACTTCTGGGACTCACATTCTTCTAGGTTTCACATTGATCATCCCAACCCACCTTTTTTCATCCATTTTTTAAATCGTTTTTTGGGTGTTTTCGTGAAAGTGAAGGCTTTCTTTTCAGTGGAGCCTTGATCAGACTTACACTCTTTATCCTTGTTTTACTCTGGAAGACTTCCTATCTCTGCAGAGAGCTTATCTCAACCAGTAGCCATTGGTTTTAATAGTTTGACTCTCATAGGCTTTTTGGGGGGAAAGGGGACTGTCTTGCTATTGTCTGCATATGCTGATTGCAGTAAATAAAAGGACTATAAGCTGGCATGTAAGGTTCTAGGATGTTGTAACTTAAAAAAATTTTTTTTAAGTTTATTTTCAGAGAGAGAGCACGGGAGGGGAAGAGAGAGGGAGGGAGAGAGAATCCCAAGCAGGCTCCACACCAACAGCATGGAGCCTGATGTGGGGCTCAGACTCAGGAACCGCAAGATCATGACCTGAGCTGAAGTCAAGAGTTGGACACTGAACTGACGGAGCTACCCAGACACCCCTAGGATGTTGCAGTTTTGAGAAATATGAAATTTAATCCTTACAGTACCATGTGGAGAGTGGGAGGGCCTGAACTGTTTGTACTGATAAACCTGACAAATTTAGATGTTCTTTTTAAATTTTTTTTTAAATGTTTATTTATTATTGAGAGAGGCAGAGCGTGAGCAGGGAGGGGCAGAGAGAGAGGGAGACACAGAATCTGAAGCAGGTTCCAGGCTCTGAGCTGGCAGCACAGAGCCCGACACGGGGCTCGAACTCACAACCTGCGAGATCGTGACCTGAGCCGAAGTCAGACACTTAACTGACTGAGCCACCCAGGCGCCCTTAGATGTTCTTTTGAATGTGTTGTTCCAAACTTCTGATAATATTTTTCTGACGCTTTTCTATTTCTTCTAAAGGTAGAAAGTAGAGACAATTTCTGATTCCTTGGGCATTGTAGATGGTAGGACTCTGATTCCGGGAGACTGGATGTGCTTCCAAACTTAGTTGAAAAAGCATTTGGAGCCTCACCGGGCTTCTCCGGATCTGTAGATTGGTGTTATAGGGACATGGTGCCAACAGGGCAAGACCGAAACCATTGTTACATGTATTTACTGCTGTGGTACTGAAAGGAAGTGAGTGATTTACAGCCCAAAGGCTAGTTCAAAGGTAATAACTTCCTGGAATTCACTGTGGATGAAAGATACTCTAGAAATACACCGCAGGATATTTTTTTTTCTGGAAGTGACCACACATTTGATTTCCACACTGTACATTCTTAGTCTAATGGGTTCGCTCACGTGTCCCTCGACTTTGTATGTTTAGCCCGCCTTTAGCTGTCAGCATATTTCTGCTCATGCCCAGAGGTCTTCTAAGGTTGACCCCTTGGCATTGACCCACATGTACTAGGGCCGTGTAGTAGCCCCAGTTGGGTGCAGTGAAGTCATGCTGTTCCTCCCTGCCTCCCCCCCCCAACCCCATCCCTGTTCCTGCCTCTGCAGATGTTGATGAATGCTCGGAAAACAGATGTCACCCCTCGGCTACCTGCTACAATACCCCTGGCTCGTTCTCCTGCCGATGCCTCCCTGGATATCATGGGGATGGATTTCAGTGCGCGCCTGGTAAGGTCTTGAGGGCTGCCTGAGGCACAGAAAACTCCTGGTTCCTTCAGTGTATTTTTTCCACAGCCTTTAGCCTGTTCTTATCGGGGACCAAGGCTTTTCTAGGCTCTGGATTTTCTTCCTGTTCCCTCCTTCTAGTTTACTTAGAAGTCCCTGGTTATTAGTAATCTGGGAGGCCAGGAGTGTGACCCCACCCATTGTCTTACCTAGTGGCAGCTGTGTTCAACTCCCGTCGTGATCTGCTTTGCCTTGGTAAGTGTCATTTAGATGAAGGACTGGGATAAGCTTACTAAATAGGAGCCATATGCACCTAGTGAGCTGGTAGTAAGCCCCCGTGGTGACACTCTAGGAGGTCTTGGCCAGCACTGTGTGACCTAGTGATTGCCATTGACCTGGAGCTTCTCAGACTTAGACTCTGGACTTGAGAGGATGAACAGAGGTTTACTAGTTTTCTCCCAAGTCTCTTGGGATGTTTGGACACAAGCTATGGGTTCTTCATTTTACCCTTAGGGCTGAGGGAGGGGCGATTTTACAGTAGGTACGGTCAGCTCAGGACTTAACAGGGTGAACTGTGAGAATTAGGGAGACATTAGGTAGATAGTGGCAGAACTAAAATAAGAATCCAGGAGTTCACAATCTCAGTGCCCGGCTATTTTTTTTTTCCCATGTTATGCTGTCTCCCAAGTATAGGGAGGGAAAAATAAGCAAAGAACATCACCTCAGAAGAGAGACTTTGAAGCTAGCTGGTAAAAGTGGATGGGTTGCAATGTCTTTTATTCCTTCTTTGTACGTCTCCTCCACCCTGGTCTCCGAAGACCCCACATCAGGACTGAAACCCTGTGAACGCCAGCAGCGCAGTGCCCACGCTCAGCACACCTATCCTGGCTCCCGGGTGCACATCCCCCAGTGCGATGAGCAGGGCCACTTCCTGCCACTGCAGTGTCACGGGAGCACTGGCTTCTGCTGGTGCGTGGACCCCAATGGTCACGAAGTCCCCGGCACCCGGACTCCACCCGGCTCCACACCACCTCACTGCGGACCAGCAGGTGAGCCAGGCAGGAAGGAGCTTGTACCGACCTAGGCCCGGGGCTTGAGAAGCAGAATGGTGCAGCCTGTGGGGCAGATTATAACTCCTGCCCAGACCGTGCAGACTCGGGGCCGACTGCTGTCCTTTCATAGCCTCCTTCCTCCTAGGACCACTCAGATGATCTGTGCCCACCTGTGCACACATTCAGGTGACAGGGACATAGACTGACATCACTGTTACACGTTGGACTCCAGCCTTAGACTTGCCCAGTACAAGACGGGACGTTGAGATGAATGGTGTAGGTCAGGCTGAGGCCACTGCCCGAGACCTGTTATGGCAGCTTAGGGAGGCCTTGGAGCTAACGGATCTTGCCAGACCAGCCTTTTGTCCAAAGAGAACTGCCTGCACATGTTCCTTTATATCACTACACTCTGCCTTCTGAATTTCAGGAAGCAGTATGAAGGCCAGTTTAGTATCAATAGTTAAAATAAGCAGACACCTGTGGGTGGATCCCACTAGTTTGCTCTAAGCTAATGACCCCCGCTGTCTCTAGGCAGGCCCAGCATATCAGTGGGGAACCCCCTTGCCCCAGCCACTGTCCGAAGAGATGCAGGGACCTGTTGTGTTAGCCCGTACGGTCTGAGATGCTAATGGTGAGCGTGTCTGTAACCATCTGAGGGCTCTCCGTGCTCCCCGGCGGGGGGGGGGGGGGGGGGGGGGGGGGGGCTGGCTGTCAAGTGCTCACATGTCCTGCCAGCTGCAGGTTGCCAAGGCAGATTGTATTCCTTGCTGAGTTGTTAAGAGTGGAAAGCACGTTTTTAAAACTACAGAAGAACTTTATTATGAAGAATGTAGGATTGATCTGATTCCATTTTAGCCAAAAATTCCTATAGCCATGAGCTTGCTATTTTTACAAGATAAATCTTGGCTTTTAACATGAGAGTAAGAAGAGCTGGTGAATTACCACCAGTTTTGATCCTGTCAACAATATCGCAACGGCCGGGACATGAGTAGTTCTAAGATTCACACAGGTAAAAATTGGTAATGTTTGATCTAGATGTATACCTTTGTTTCCGCAGTGACATTCCTAGTTCCTCTTGTCCCTATTTTTAGGAAAAGATTTGACAGGTCCAAGGGGGAAAAAAAAGGAAAGAAAAATCCTGTTTCACTCCTTTAAAATCTTTAAAAAGTCTTGGTTCTAACTCCATCTGGGATTTAAAGAAATCAGATGGTTGGGACCTGCCTTAGGGAATGGTTCAGAGTTCTATTTACGAAGACAAGCATTTAGTTTTAAGGACCGTGATTCAGAAGGGAGCCAAGAGAATGAGAAGGTAATGACTGACGGGAGGGACACATTGTCTTGTGCAGACTCTCCCCCCAGTGGCCCAGGCTCCTCTCTTGGCACTGGTTTGGCCTTGGCTGCCTTTTCTGACTAGTCCCATCTGCATAATGGGGTTGGCTTGAAGGGAGAGAAAAAAGTCTGTGTCCAAGATTTCAAACTATTTAAAACCCTGCCAGCCGAAACCAGAAATCAATCTGTAGTTGGATTAAGAAGTAGCTTCAAATAGTAAGGAATGAGAGGGATGCACACGTATCAGTGATGTGCCCACTTCCCAGAAGCTGAGTGAGCCGTGTGTCTCCATTCCAGACAAAGAGCCGTGCCTCATCGGGTGGTCCCCTGAGCTAAGAACACACCCTCTGAGTTTGCGGGGCGGACCTGGAGCCGTGTTGGGAACTTCTGCGGGGCATCCCACCTTGAGGTGGCTCGTTAGTGTTTGAAGAAGTGACCTTTCCCTGGCCAGATTCTTTGAGACACATTTGGGTGAGGAAGTCTCCTTCTCCGTTGGGTCTTATAAAGAACTCTGCTTCCCAGGGGTTATGAACTATAGAGGCCACCTGAAGGGCATCCGTTGCCACCAGACCTGGTGAGTCTTGGAGTTGAGCTAGTTGGGTTTGAGCTCTGAGGATTTTGTTAACCATCCTCCCTCTTGTCCGGAGGAATCATAGGTACTAGAACCGAATTGTAATGTTTCCAACTTTGTTCTTGGAGGCCAGTGGAGGTTTTGACCAAAGGAGTGACATGAAATGACTGTGTTTGAAGTATTTTTTTGCTTTTTAAAAAAAATGTTTATTTTTGAGACGGAGTGAGGGAGAGAGAGAGAACGCGAGTGGAGGAGGGGCGGAGAGAGAGGGAGACACAGAGAGAGGGAGAAGCAGGCTCCAGGCTCGGAGCTGTCAGCACAGCCCAATGCGGGGCTCGAACTCACAAGCCATAAGATCATGACCTGAGCCGAAGTCAGACGCGCAACTGACTCAGCCATCCAGGTGCCCCAGAAATGACGTTTTAAAGGGACTCTTCTGGCTGCTGGCTGTTTACATTGGGGGGTGGGAAAGAGGGTGGAAGCCAGGGACCAAGTGAGAAAGTTTTTGTAATATCCTAGCAGGAGACCATGAGGCTCCGACCAGGGTGATAGGGGTGGCTATAGTGCGATGTGAAGATTTTCTGAATGTATTTTGAAGGCACAGCTGACCTTTTTCTGACCTGCCAGATGAGGAGAGCAAGAGACAGAAAGGAGTCAGGGATGATTGGGCCCACACAATGGAAAATGGAGGTGCTATTTACTGATAGGAAAAAGTCTAGGGGACAGCAGCGCTGACGGTGGAAAGCAGGGTCCCCGTTTTTGTTCTGAGATTAATGGCATACACCCAGGTGGTGGTATCATGTAGGTACTTGGCTGTGTGATTCCACAGACCACAGGCTTCGAGTTACAGGAATTAAAGCAGCAGCAGCTTCTAACGAGCTCCTTTAGATACTCCTCTGATAGACGGGGGTACAAGTTACTTCCAAAGCCCGCAGCAGACTCCCTGCAGACAGAGAACCGCCACGTTTGGGACAGAGCGACAGCCCTGTGGAAGCAAGCAGGGAGAAAAACTGCAGCTAGAGAAGCTACTCTGCAAGAGCTCACAGTAGTGTAAGCCGGGTGGTGAGCCAGGAGGGCGAGCAGAGGGGAGGATGCTGGACAAGGGAGGGGCAGAGCTATGGGCAGGAAGCAGGAGCCCGGGAGAAAGGTTCAGCTTTGAGCCAAAGGGCTTCCGGGAACTGGAGCGTCTAACAGTCAGTATGGTGCTGTTGGCCACCACGTCCTCCATGCGCACCCCTACTAATTACAGTGAGTCTTACTCCATATAGTTTTCCAGTGAGCAGAGCTGAGGGCCACCTAAGTAGGGTAGGAATAGGAGGCAGGAATAGTTTGGCAGTTTGGCAGTAGGGCAAAGTAGGGCAGGCAGTAGGTCAGGACTAGTTTGTAAGACGCGTGGCCAGTGTCAAGATTGTCCTCTCAGGTGCAGGCCTGGAACTTGAACCAAGCGGGAAAGAATAAATACTGCCTTTAAGTATCATGTAGGCCCCCGAGTCCCCAAGGAGGGTCCCCACCAAAGGGCTCTGTTAGCAGAGGTCCTGGGCCCCGGCAGAGGTGTCCCCATGGGCCGGGCCCGAGTGTGCCCTGCACCCCTGATCTTAACCTCCTCTTGCTCTCTGCTGACGTGGCTGGCCTTCATGACAAATCCTCCTGGCCCAGGAGCTTTTCTCCGTTCTCCGGATGCCTGTGGAGAGCTTCTTAGAGCACTTGACTGGTCCAACGTCCAGGGGCTTGGCTGAGGCCTTGTTGGCGGATACTAGGAGGAGGGAGGCCAGGTGTGGGGATCTTCAGCCACATGCTGCATTCTGTCCTTGGCTCACGATCAAAGGCTTTTTGTCCCCATCTGCTCAGAGCCCACCCGGAGGCCCCGGACTGTCTGCGAGCGCTGGAGGGAAAACCTGCTGGAGCACTACGGTGGCACGCCCAGGGACGATCAGTATGTGCCTCAGTGCGATGACCTGGGCCACTTCACCCCCCTGCAGTGCCACGGGAAGAGTGACTTCTGCTGGTGCGTGGACAAAGATGGCAGAGAAGTGCAGGGCACCCGCTCCCAGCCAGGCACCACCCCTGCATGTAAGCACCCGGGGGTCAGCCCTCAACCCCCTCATCCACTCTGAGGGCTTTCTGTATGGAAACTGCTAGCTGTGAGTGAAGCTGGGGAAAGGGGGGGCCCACAGGTCCAGTGAAAGAAGTCGCTAAGATGCCGTGTTGATTTATCAGCTGGTCTGTGATCCAAATCCCTATTTGGATTTAACGTTTGGTTTTGTCATTAGCAGTTTCTGTAATTAGAACATCTGGAACTCAGTTCAACAAGCAGTTCCTCCTCCCCAGCCCAGGGTGAGAGGGGACACGTGTCACCCTGGGGGCCCAAAGAAAAGCGGACACAATACTGTTTTTTTGCCCTTAAAAAGAAAAAAAACGTTTTTGCTTTGTTCTGAGGGAAGTGTTTTGTTGTCTTCCTCCCTAGTAATTGGCAGTGTTTTACATAATCCTTGGGGGGGGGGGGAACCCCTAGAAATTAGATTTCTTTTAAGAACATCTGGAATACATCTGTCTAGGGTAAAAACCTTTTGATGTTTTTGGAGGTTCTGGTATGTGGAAAGTAACTTCTTCCCCTGTCCCCACCCACCTTTGTGTTCTTTCCTCTCCGTTCTTCATACCCTCCTGCTCCTTCCCACGGCAGGTATACCCACCGTTGCGCCACCCACAGCCCGGCCCCTGCCCCGGCCTGATGTGACCCCTCCGTCTGTGGGCACTTTCCTGCTCTACGCCCAGGGCCAGCAGATCGGTCACTTGCCCCTCAATGGTACCAGGCTCCAGAAGGACATGGCCAAGACCCTGCTGTCACTGCATGTAAAGTGGATTTCTCCCGTGGGGGTGGGACCGTACAGGGCGTTCAGATCTGGGCCAGGGCCTGAGGTAGAGGGAGGTCCTGGAGGATTTCTGGGCTGCGGTCCAACTCCATGAGTCTGACGCCGCTGCCACACAAAGTGAGGGCACTGTCTGCCGGGAGTCCTGTCTGACTGACCAAGGCTTTCTCCAGTGGTTCATGGGGTTTCAGAGAAGTGGAAAGGGAAGTTCAGAGTTACCAGGATATGGAGGCAGTATGGTGAGCCGAGGGAAAATGGAAAGAAACTCAGCCCGAGTCCCCAGGGTTCTCTCCATGCCAGGCATCTCCACAGAGGGTCCAGGACTAGCTAAAGGGTGTGGTTTCTGTGGAAAGAAGTTAATGACTGCCTCGTTGTTGTAGCCCCCTCCCCTCCATTTTGGTTCTGTTGATCGGTCTCCTATCTTCTCTAACTCCTTCACAGATGAAGATTTGGGTGGAGTGGGACGCTGGGAAAGGAGTGGACAAGCTTTCCATAGGAGATGCTTGTCGCTTTCTGAGCCAGCAGCCTCCCTCCATTTTGGAGGACAGCTTTCTTCTCTAAAATGGAGAAAAGAGAAGGGAGTTCGCCAGAAAGGCACTGATGGTTATTAAGGAAAGCCGTCTGATTCCATTTCTAAACTTCATGCAGCAGGTACTTGCTCATCTGATAGAAGAGTATAATGTCCGTGTTTCCCTTTACTTATGTTATCAAACTAATTCTGTAACTTTTGGGATTCCAAAAAAAGCTTAGAAGCAGGTAGTATTCAGAGAAAGAGGTTTGTTTTTTAAGATTTAGGTTTTGGGAGTTTTCGGTGTGTTGGCAACCACTAGCATACTATTCTGTAAGCTTCTCTAAGAGAAACTAAGAAATCGTCAACACCTCAGTCTAACTGTCGTAGCCAAGGCTGATGGTTTTACTGCATTTCTGCGCTTGCCTCTCATTCGGGCAAGGTGGTGGTAGAATTGAGAGAATGGCACATGGGTTATGAGCACGTCTTGGGGAAATTTACTCAAACTGAGCCTCCCTCTTCGAAGAAACCCTAAAGACAGTACATGGGTTAATGGATCCCATGATTCCCTAGGTCACTGGAAGCACATGGATGTCACTCCTGCCTGAGACAGATGACTCACTTTTCAAGTAAAACTGTTCTTGACCTTCAGATCCCTCTAAATCAACTGCCCATTTTTTCCACAGGAGTCAAATCCTGCTTTGTACAGTATTTTTTATATTGACTTCTCTCCCAGAGGCATGTCAAGCCAGCCCCAGGAGGCTTTGTTAGGCAAGCACGGAGCTGGTATGACCTCAGGGACAGCCAGATGGCCCCTAGATGTTGGCTTTGCACATCTGTTGGGCTTCTCAGACCAGGAGTCTGGGTTGGAAACTGAATGAAGCAAGTACTGTGCAGTTTTGTAAAGAAATACCACAGACTCAGCATTTTAAAAAGACTTCTTTATTTAGCAATAGGGAAGGGAAGACCTCCCTAACCAGCGGTTTGGTGACCACCAGTCTCCAGTTCCTTAACCCATCCTTCTGGAGACTTTCTTCTACATATGATTACAACCAAACCATTTGCTTTGTATAAGAAGCAGAGATAGGGATAAGGGATTAAACCTCAGGGGAAAGATCTCATAGTTATAGGAAAAGGAAGAGTAAATTTTGTTGTTGTATGTTGGTGAATTAAAAAAAAATTTTTAATGTTTCTTTTTGTGAGAGAGAGTGAGCACAGGTGTGCATGCGTGCACAAGCAGGGGAGGGGCAGAGAGAGCGAGCGAGACACAGAATCTGAAGCAGGACCCAGGCTCGGAGCTGTCAGCGCACAGCCCGACGTGGGGCTCGAACCCACGAACCGTGAGATCATGACCTAAGCCAAAGTCAGATGCTCAACTGACTGAGCCACCCAGGCACTCCTATGTTGGTGAATTTTAGAAAGGCTGTTTCAGAAGTGCTGATACCATTAGGAAGGAGTACGTTTTCACCCAGTACAGTATTAAGGACTTACTTTGCTGAAACTAATGTTTGTTCTCTAATCACTCAAAGGGCTGATTTCATGAAATCATTTTATTACTGCTGACAGTAATTGTGCTTATTGAGCACTTGCTGTATACTAATGACCGATGAGGATACTTTACAAGAACTTTTGGTAGAATTTTTATAGCAGCACTATAAAGTAGGTACTAGTATCTTCATTTTGCAAATGAAGAAACCCAGGCATAGAGAGGTTAAATACCAAAGTCATAGCTAGTCAGTGGTCAAACCTGGCTGGGACCCCAGAAGTCAGCCTTTAAGCCACCTGTGTAATCCTGCTGCATAGCTGCCCTTAGGACTACTGTGGGTCGTTCACTACAGCCATGTGTGCAGCAGCTGAGCACAAGCTCTGGGGAAATGCATGGAGTCCTAACTCTTCCAATTTCATGTTTTGGTCCACAAAGGGCTCCATAGTCGTGGGAATTGACTATGACTGCCGCGAGAGGATGGTGTACTGGACAGATGTTGCTGGCCGGGCAATCAGCCGTGCCAGTCTGGAGCCAGGAGCAGAGCCTGAGACGATCATCAGCTCAGGTCAGCAGCTTCATCTGGAAGATGCTTTGTATTTCATTTGAGTCTCCTACGTTCACCAGGGGAGGTTAAGCGCCATTCAAGCCACTTCTTCAAGCACTGCAATACCAGCCCCTCTGTAAACACACACTTCTACGTAAGAAAGGAGGTAATTCTGTGAGCCTGCTGAGAAATTGGAACTCTCAACAGAAATGGCTCACAGTGAGAACTCAGGGTGTGGCCCCAGTTGATGCTGCCTGGCCCCAGCACTGTGCATGCCCAGTACCATCAGGCTGGTGGGTATGTAGTCTAGAAGGAAAACTAGAGGTGGCAGGACAAGTAACAAAGGATCCGTTCCTCAGTTAACCTGGTTCTTGAGGCCGAGAGCCTCTCGGGACTTTTTGTTTTTTAAACTGTTCAAACATAGCAGATCTCTCTGCTTCGGGTTCCCTTTTCATGCCTGCAAATACTCCAGTCCTGCTGTTCTACTTCCAGGTCTGATAAGCCCTGAAGGACTTGCCATTGACCACTTCCATAGAACAATGTATTGGACGGACAGCGGCCTGGACAAGATAGAGAGGGCCAGGCTGGACGGCTCTGAGCGGAAGGCCCTCTTCCACACGGACCTGGTGAATCCTCGAGCCATTGCTGTGGATCCAATCCGAGGGTCAGCTGGGCTTCCCTATTCTCCTGCTTCCTGTGGATCCTAATTTGGAGCGCTTGGATTTTAAATGCAGTGTGGGGAGGGTCAGAACAAGAGTGCAAAAGCTCCAAAGCATGGACTTAAGAACAGTATTTATATAGGATCTACTAAGCGTCAGACGCTGTTCTAGGCAAAGGGGACAAGGTTGCTCTTTCGTGGAGCTCACATTCTGGGAGGAAGTAAGGTAGTAAACTAATGAATAAACTAGAAAATCATTAAGACGACAGCGCGATACAGAGAGAATTCAGAGTATGTGAGAGGCACTGGGGGGCCACCCGAGATCACTGACCAGGCAAGGCTGTCTTAACACTTGAACTGGATGGGTGGGTCTCCTTCAGCAACACATTAGGAAACTCTAGTGCTGAAGCAACAGGGTTAAGTTCCTTAAATGGTGAGAGTAACCAAAACTCAGACACTGGTGTTTTATTTCTCTGGCCTCATTTTCGCTATTGCAAAAAATCTTTATTTAATTTATCCCACAGCAACTTGTACTGGACAGACTGGAATCGTGAGGCTCCCAAAATTGAAACGTCTTCTTTAGAAGGAGAAAACAGAAGAATTCTGGTGAATAAAGACATTGGACTACCTAATGGTTTAACCTTTGATCCCTTCTCCAAACTGCTCTGCTGGGCAGACGCAGGTATTACTGATGGCATGTACACACAGCACACTTCAGCACCATGGGTGCCAGCACTTAACCGCAGCTTTTACAACAAAACCAAATCCCAGTATGTAGAGCTTTTGGCTTCAATTTTCAACAGTACAGCCAGCACAGAATCTACTCCTTTGGTTGGTGTCTAAACTGTTAAAGAACACTTTTAGTCGATACTTCTAATCCTTCTTGGGGTTTTGGGTGGGAGGGGTTGTCTGTGACTTAGGCAATGATCTGAGGGCTGGAACTATGTCCCAATTCATTTTTGTGCTACTAGCCCTTCCCCACACAAGCACTTGGTATACTTATTTTTTTTTTAATGTTTGTTTATTTTTGAGAGACAGCGACAGTGCAAGCGGGGGAGGGGCAGAGAGAGACAGAATCTGAAGAGGCTCCAGGCTCTGAGCTATCAACACAGGGCTCGAACTCACGAACTGTGAGATCATGTTCTAAGCCGAAGTCGCATGCTTAACCGACTAAGCCACCCAGGTGCCCTGTCCTGGTATACTTTTTAAAGTAAAGAGAAATTTTATCCTCTGTTGGAACTGGCAAACTTAGATAAATGAACAAGAGGCTTTTTTTGTTTGTTTGCCAGTATCAGAACATTTTACAGTATGCTATTACGTGGAAGACATTTTTTGAAAATTGATGTGGCAGGACGGCCCTTGGTAGTAAGTTAAGGTTGCCGATACCCAAGTTCTTTCTGTTGTGTGATCTCCTTATTAGAAAAATAGAAAAGATGCTATAGGTCTTCTTCTATACTAAAAAGAATATGAAAATGTCCATTCTTAAAGAATTTCTAATTTAATAAAAGGAACTATAAATGCAGATGGATTAATATTATAACCTGGTTGGCCCAAAACAAGTTATTTTTTTTAAGTTATATTTTTAAAAACTATGTGAAATTTAAATCCATGTTTCGTAAGACACATGAAACTTGGAAACTCTTGACTTGTTTAGGTACTATAAAATTTTCAAGAGTGCTTCCTTTACACTGAAAAATATAAGCCATGTCGCCATTTTAGTTACTTTTAATTCCTATCTAGAAGATAAGTCTTTAAAATCCTTCAATATTTCTTAAGGGCCTTATGCATTGCTTACAAAGGGCAAGCGTTTATCTGATGTTTACGACAATTTATGAGGTGACACTTTAATTAGAACAAAGTTTATCTCTAATGTCCTACTTAGGGAGAAAAAAATGCAGTCCTCTCTTCCAAGAAGGGATCAAGAGTCTAAATTCTAAGAAACGAGAATGCTATTAAACTGAAGACTGGTAACAGAACAGGAAAATTGTAGTTTCTCTAATTTGCATCACTGCACTGGAAAGAAAATACCCTATTTCCTCGTCTACCTTTGTTTCCTTTCAGAAGGCCTCCACCTGCCACAATTATTTTTGGCAAATAACTTTTCTCCTGGTATGGAATGATTTCATTTTCTCTGGTGTTTTAAAAGGAACCAAGAAACTGGAGTGTACGCTACCTGATGGGACTGGACGGCGGGTCATTCAGAACCACCTCAACTACCCCTTCAGTATTGTCAGCTTTGCAGATCACTTCTACCACACAGACTGGAGGAGGTGAGCTGACGCACACTGGACGTGCCTCACGAGGCTGGGGTTCCGGAAGATGCGCCACCCATTTTACCTAATGTCACTAAGTGTCTTTAGTAAACTATGCCCTCTGCCGAAGTTTCCATTAACTCTGTTTAGTAGATAACATCATTCAAGTGCTAATGCTTTTTAAGTCCTACTTAATGGCACTGCTCACATGTAGCTTAAAAGTGGCACAGCTTACACTGAACTATCCAAAAAGGAAGTACATGAATCCAAAACACTACCCCCTTAAGTGGTGCCATGTGATTTAAATTGATTTTTTTTAAAAAAGGTATTATGGATATATTGTCCACCTGGGAGAAGGAAAAGTAGTGTAATTTACACTAGTGCCGCAAGGAGGAACTGGGGAACATTAAAAATACATATGGATGTCTAAGCCCCTCTACCCCATTCCTTGCAATCTTGATTTAATTGGTCTGGCGTGAGGCCTAGGCATCAGTATTTTAATAGATTTTCAAGTGATTCGTTGAACAAGGGTTGAGAACCATTGACTTGGACCAGTGGTTCTGAAAAGTTTTGTATGGCATCAGAAACGTTCCAAGGGATTGTTAAAACCTATTGCTGGGTCCCAGCCCATAATTCCTGATGACTCAGTAGATTGGAGTTGAGGCCATTTGTATTTCTAACAAGTTTCCAGATGATGCTGGTCTGGGGACTACTTTGAGAACCACTCATCTAGAAAATCTTCAAATCTAAAGGAGTCAAAACTCACTTGGTTAAATTAAAAAAATACATATTCTAGAAGGCTAGCAGAGATTTGCTATTGAAACTGAGTTTCTATCCAACATTAAATCCCATGAATTTACTCTTCCTTTCTGTTACCAGGGATGGTGTTATATCAGTAAATAGAGATAGTGGCCAGTTTACTGATGAGTATCTCCCGGAGCAGCGATCTCATCTCTACGGGATAACTGCCGTCTACCCCTACTGCCCAACAGGTAAACAAAATGTGCAGGGTGCTCCTTTGGATCAGCAGGGTAGAGAAGGATATACCTGGTAACTGATGATCCTTGGCCCAGATGGCAGCTGCTGCCACTAACATCACCACCAGGGAGAGCCACTTTGAATAGAAAAGTTAATGGCCCATACACAGGGGTGACCAATCTTGACTACACTAGCTTAACTATACACAAAAAAGGTCAGCCTATAAGGATATTTCCCCTTTAAAATGTTGTTGCAACTGGGTTATAAAATATTCACCCACTGTCTCTTCTACCTCCCCTCACAGGAAGAAAGTAAATACGGCATCACAAAGGATTTGGAGTTTACAATCAGAATCTGGACCCTAAAGAGCATTTACTACAAACACAGGCAAAGAAAGTGAAAAAGGAATTGGACCTACAAGATGAACATTTTCAGTACAAAAAGACTAAGTATATCTTGTGAAAAGTTTTATACCTCAATCTTTACTACTGTATTTTGAATAACAAAAGTTACTACAAGTTTTAAAAAAGTAATAGAATTTTAATTGCTTATTAAAGCAATTTTTAATAAGCATTTCCGTCATATTTAAAGGGTCAAACTCACTAGAAAGACCCTAAATCTAATTTTTGCTAAGGATTCTTTCTGACCAAGAAATTAAAGCATGGGTTGTCAGTACAAAGACACAACCCTAAAGACCACAAGCCTTGACCTAGAGAAGGCTATGTGGAACTGGTAGGGAAGTTTCCCAGTAAAAGTTCTAAGATCTATTTTTTTTTTTTTTAACCTCTGCATCACTGCATTTCTATTTATATTAAAAGGTGCTAGAATGTTTCAATTTGTATCTTCTGATCCTATAAGTCCCTCTATAGTTACCCACAGAAGTTACTACATTTATAAATACCAAAGATGTAACAATTCTCAAATTTTCTAGATTACTCCAATAAAATATTTTAAGTTTTCCCATGATTTGAGCATCTGTATTGTCTCTGTAACAGTGCTGGGGGCTGGCATGTACCTCACCCACAAAAGAGGACGATTAATTATATAGATACACAAACATAACAGTCAAAAAAAAAATCCACTTTCCTAAACTTTATTAAAGAAAAAGCAATGATGGTAAATCTCAAGAACAGAGTCAATTTTCTAGGATTCTTCTCTTGAAAACGTGACATTTGATTTCCAAACACATGCCAGAGTGTACATGGTTCCCAATTGTACTAAGTACGTGAGAAGCTGCAAATCCTAAAACGTTCATCTTCCAACTTTCCCCAGTCTGTGGTCTGTCTTTGGATCAGCAATAATTGCCTGAACAGCTACTATGGCTTCATTAATTTTTGTCTGTAGCTCTCTGAGCTCTTCTATATGCAGCAATCGCAGAATTTGAGCAGCTTCATTAAGAACTGCATCTATTTTATAAGAAACACTGCATTAATCCGTATTCAAGACCATTTACTTGCCCATTTCTTCCCCAAATAATCACCTGGTCTCTAAAAAATAAGAGTTTGGATTAAAACAAAATCACTTACCTCCTGTGTCAAAACCAAGAATGTGTTTGTCTAAAGCAACAGGTAAGCCCTTAAAGACAAAATAAAACTTTATAGTTAAAAGTCATGTTCTTTTCTCATCTGTAACTGAAAATCTGCTAGCTATTCTATTAACCCTTTTAGCTGTTCTACCAACCAGTCTCTCCTCTAGGCATATAAAACACTAGCTCCTTTCACAGCTGTTCTGTCACTGATGCTGTGGAAGGACAGCTGAGCAGGGCTGCTGTTGTCCTATTTTAGCTACAATAAGCAGCACGGTACAGGGCAAATAGGTTTACTTTTAATATTTCTGAACACATTAATTTGTTTTTATACAAAATCTAAAATCTATATTAACTTTTTTCCAGCTAGTGTGATGTTTACCACATTACCTTTATAGAATTTAACGTTCAATAATAGTTCATTTGGAAGTTATTCTGAAGTCCAGGAAAATAAATGAACTTTAAACCAGTTAGTTAACTGGTCAGTACCTACATACACATATGCCAAACATGGGGACTATAATGCCAACCTCCATGGAGTTCAGAGTAGCAACAAGGACAGACAGTCCAGACTTTCTGATTATACTATATAAAATCTCTACTTTCAATGTTACAAATGCTAGGATGTCACTACTCAATTCTTACCTAATCTATTAAAGCAAATCTATCTATCTAGGCTCCAAATACTTTAAAATAGCTAAATACATTATACAGGTGAAGAAATAAATGGATGTGTAAATTTAGCAAGCAAAGCAAGAAAGAATTACATTGAGTGGTTTTCTAGGCCAGTCTTATTTTCGTTTTCTCTGCCAACAGACCACCAAGGAACAGCTAAACCCCTCAAGATGACCATATGCCCCAAATACTAGTTATGGTTTATAAACAAGACTACTCACTATAAGAACCTCTCCACTGTATGTATACCTATAGCATGATACCTTCTGAGAGGACACTAAAGATTTGGAGCAATGAAAATAAAATTGTACTCTGCAAAAAAGAGTAAAAAGAGTTGACTATGCCCTCATTTGCACCGCCTCCAAACAGAAGACATAGTTTTGCTGAATGAATGATTTTATTATGGCGGAACAATTTACTGTCTGTTCTACAGTGTGGGTGAAATAAGCTGATCTTTAATCCAATTTCCAGTGGCCCAATTCATACATAATTAATAAGCAATAAAGAGCCTTTAAAACAAACAGTGTCTTTCAGAGAGAACTACACTGCCCTGGCATTAATAACCTTTTAACACTGCTGGGCCTTACTAAAGATGGGATCAGAGGACAAAAGACACTGGGGGATTAGGGGAGACAAAAAAAGGACAAGAATCTAGAACGTTTATTGTGCCCAAGGCATTCACTGCATTATCTGTTCATAGCAAGAGGCATTATCAGACACCTGCTACTGCTAACCCTGAGGACATTCTCTGCACTGTCCCATAGTCAATGAGACTAGGGATTTTGGATTTCTAGTACAATTTATCTAAAATATCTCAGAATTAAGGGAAAAATTGTCACGGTGTATAGTTTTCAGCCTACAAAGCAGGACTGAAAGAGGACAGCTGCAGTCACCTGAACCTTGAAACTTACACTCTAATACAGCCTCCACACCCCTATGCCAGAATTCTCCTGGGCTGACCAATGAGCTCATGCAGGCCTTCACACACAGACCTTTGTCCCCATCAACCGTTAAGAGCACTGGCTCTTGAATCAGGCTATTTGAGCTCAACCGCTTACCAACTAGGTGGTCTTAGGTAAGTTACTTTCTCCTAAGTGATGCCAGGAAATATGAATAAAATGAGAAAAGATTTCTCCGAAGAAACAAAAGAGCAAGGACAGGATTTACATCAAAGAAGAAAATTAGTAACAAAGACAAGGTGTGTCCTGTTTTCCAGCAATTCGTCAAAATAACCTGGTAAATTTTACAAGGTAAATTCTTTTAAATAACTGGGCATGTGCAGTGGTTTGTACTGGTGGACTGTGGATATGCTATTGGTAGCTGCTTTAAGGTATGAAGTGAGGTAAATTTATCTTTCACTCAAAAATAGCTATAATTTGCTTAAGAAGCAAATTCAATCCCACTGAAATAACCTATCCTTTCTCTGGACAGTTCAACCATAGTTTATCTTAAGCAGATACAAAGCGTAAACTCCTGACAACACTAGAAGAACCTTTCATTAGTGATCAATTTAGAATTTATTAAAAAAAAATAGTACGTACCTCTCTTGTTTGATTTGCTTTAGCAACTGCATCCTGAGTCAGGCGCTCCTGAACCAAAATGCGAATTGCCTAAGAAACCGAAAAATATTTTTTATTTTTTATTGGCTGTTCATCTCTTCTTCTGACTCTAGAGAATAAGGACACCTAGAGACTAATCAAGTTAGAATTAAAATTCCCTAATAAATTAAACAAAAACAAACTGCTATTAGAATGAACATTTTCACTTTTAATACTTTATAATGTGGAAAGATGCTCACAAAAATTAAATTTTTTTGAATAGGTAATTCATGTGTGTGAAAAATAAATTTTTAAAAAGGATACATGTTAAAAAAAGGGGGGGGGGTTCTCCTTCCTACCCAAGCCTTAGCCATCCCTCCAGAAGACAATCAACGGAACGAACCAGACTGCTGTATATCCTTAAAAAGACTATTATAAGCATGCTCAAGCATAAATGCGCACACACACAAACTCTTGACAAAAAGAGTGGCATATCATACCTACTGTCCTTGATTTTTTAAATTATACTAAAACATTTTCAGATCTCTCATTCAAGGACTGGTTTTTTCCATCACCAAGGCATTTTATTATGGCAGACATAAGTGCATGCATGCCCTACACATGCTTAAAAAATAAGTTTTAAGTGGAATTCTAGTAGATGCCAATTGTGACATAAATGCAAAAACTGAAAAATTATTAATAATATAACAAGCCAAACACTACATTTAGAAAGAATCATTAAATCAATCTTCAATAATCAGGCCAGTTGCCAGTCAATATAGTGATTCTCACACTTGGCAAACCTATGAAGATGTCTGCCGTAGTGTCATGGATTATCTGAATGCTTCCAAACTTCCAAGACAAACAGGCAGCTTAGAATTTAAAAAGCTTTTGATTATAGCTGATTCATACTTTTTTGGGTTTTTAAACTCTAATAAAAGCACCCCAAATATGCTAGTCTATTTGTCCTCTCATTCAGTTTATGATTAAAGGTGACATGACCACTGCAGAACTGTTCCAAAGCAATTTACATAATCGCCCAAGTAAGGAATAAAGAGCTAAATTTCAATAAAAACAACTTTTTGCCTTTTAGAGTTTTTATTTATGTATTCATTTAAGTAATCTCTACACCCAACATGGGGCTCGAACTCACGACCCCAAGATCAGGAGTTGCATGCTCTGGGCGCCTGGGTGGCTCAGTTGGCTAAGCATCTAACTCTTGACCTCAACTCATGATCTCAGTGGTTCATGAGATCAAGCCCCACATCAGGTTCTGCACTGACAATGCAGTGCCTGCTTGGGATTTTCTCTTTCTCTCTCTCTCTCTCTCTCTCTCTC